AGCGAGAGAGAGAGATGCAGGAGGCAGAGGAGCGCTGAGGGGGGGGGAGAGGGGGAGGCAGTAAGAAGAGGAGAGAGAGAGACCGGAGGCTCAGGAGAGAATACCGACATGGAGGAGAGACCTGAACATCCTGTCTTATGATGGGCTAATTGGCTAGTAAATGAAGATCAGGCAAATGAATGCATGCAACTGTGTTGATCTACTTTTTTGAAAATCTGGCCCATTTAAAAATGCCTAAACAGGATAGTGCTGTACCCATTGTATACCAGCGCAAGTCCACTGTTGTCCAAGGAGTCTTGGAGTAAAGGAATAGAGAATTGGACCTACTCGCTATTTCTTGCAGACAACCATATCATACAATTTTACAGTTAATGCTGCTAATCACACATTAAAAATGAATTAAATTGCTTTTGTTCACTATTAATTTGGAGAAAGAAATTGTTACAGAGATACAGTCAGCCTAAATACTACCAAAGCTTACAAAATTTGAAAAGCATAAGAATTATAACAGAAAGGTTAGAAATGATTTATTTTAAAAAAAGTTTTTTCAGATTCCCAATACATCTGTTGCCTCACAATCATGCTGTAAATACAGAAAAAAGATCACACGCAGGCCCTATAGAAACAAGAAACATTGTGGGTAGAATGTAAGTAAACAACCTGATGGAACAGTCTAGACATTCAGAAAACCATGACTCTGTTGTTATTTTGACAGATCTGTTGTTGCAACAAACGTATTTCTAAGATTGGGTACTTATTTTGTGTCTAGTTACCAAAAAGAGTATAACATTAGAAATGATGAATTTATGACTAAAGTATAGGAAAACATGTATGGGCACATGGTAAGTCTTGCAAACTCATACAAAAATCAATGTGTCTAAGGCCATGTCTACACTGGGAAATTATTTAAAATTTACTAAGTTCAATTTCTGGGCACCCAATTTTACAAATTCAAAGTTCCATGTCCTCACTACAGGGAAGAATAGAATGTAGTCCAAGGCAGGTTCCATTAATGCGGATGCACTACCTTGGACTCCGAGCTCCAGGAAGCACTCTGGGGAGTAGCGGGAGACCTCCTAGAGGCCAATTAGTTGGAATTAGCGAAACCAGAGCATCCACACTAACATTATTTTGAACTTACAAGTTTGGGAAAAGCTGGAGTAGAGTTTAAATTCCATAGCCCCTCATTCCAAATAATGAGCTTGGTAGTGTGGATGTATCACTTACAAATTTGATCTTGAGGGGCTAATTTCAGACTAAGGTCCTAGTGTAGACCAGGCCTAGTGTATCAAGATGCTAGGTACCTTTCAAATGTCTTAGAAAGAAAAGTAAATTCTATTACTGATGTATTTTTGTACTGAAAGGAAAAAAGGACTTAGGATGTTCAGAATCCTTCTCATTTAAGTATCAAACAAAACACAACGAAGGCCATCAATAGTTTGGAAAACGAAACCTATTAACTTCTTCACTGCAGCTGTCCTGATAAATCCTAGTCCTTCTCCCTACAACCTGTGAAGATTTTACATGCTGCAAAAATATGCAATGTCAACATCACAGGGCATTTTATAAGCTATGGAAATGCCAGAAAATTAAATGTCTAAACAATTGTGTATACTGCTTTGAGTCCTTGAGCTGTGTTCATGTGGACATTAAGAAGTTTCCCATACAATTCCACTGGAATAAGTATCCATACTATATTATACAGCAAGCACAATGTACAATGCTGTATGTCTGGGTTCCTAACAACATAGGCACAGAACTGCAGTTTTGCTTTAGACACAGCTGACATCAAGCCTGCATTATGTCCCTTGTATGTACACAGTGAAATCTAGAAAGTGAATCATAATGGGGACAATCCATTACAAGGTTTGGTAGGAAAAATAAAAGCTGTTCACGAAAGCAGGAAAAAACACTATTTACTATATGGATATTGTATTTCTGCTAGTGTTACTTCTGATGGTTTGCAGTTGATTCTTATATGACAATTTATCTTTACATTTTGGGGTAAAAGCCTTAAGCTAATTTTGCAATATAACAAACTTCAAAACCAAAGTTAACCTTAATTTCATAAACACAGACCATGCATATAGGTACAATCAACTCCTGGACAACCACAATTCTAGTCCTATATCATTCTCTTGAGAATAGACAGAAATATACAGACAGTGAGTCAGAGTCTATGCCTGCAGAATATATGCAAGTCTCATTGACTTCAGATGGAGTTACTTGCATGGCCCCATATGTAGCTGAGTATGCAGTTACAGTGCTTTCTTGTCTTACTGACAGATTTAGGAATCTGCCCATGTGCAAAACAGAAACAACAATATTCCCCTCTACAAGAGAAACTTTCCAAATAATAAATAGGTAGGTGGACTCAGCAGCCAGAGGCAGAATTATTATTTGTGCATTATTGGCAAGGAGAAAGCATTAGACATATCTTCAACTTATATAAATAGTTATCGTGAAGTCTATGGAGCTAAGGGGGTTTACAGCAGTTGAGGATCTGATGTAATGGTTCCATGGATATGTGAAAGTAGAAAGAATTATACTGTAAAAGAAAGATGAATTATGCTGTAATAATTGAATAAGTTGAAGGAATACTGTTTGTCTCTGAACAGGAAGAAGAAAAGTATGTTAATGTTGTTTGTAGGTATGCAGATCAGAGTGCTAGCCAGGTGGGCCTGAGTTAATAGGAAAAGGAACATTAGGTGTTAGGGAGAAAGCAATTGAGATAACCAAGGCGATATGGACAGGAGATTGCTGTGTGCTTGATGTGGAAATGAAGATACTTGACTAGCCTCACATTAATCATGTGAAGTTTTGCCCCTCTTTTAATCCTGTTAATTTTAGCTTTCTTTTGACTGTATAAATTAAGGGGGTTGAACCTTGTATGGCACTCACATTTTCTGGGTGCATTTAGCAGAGCGGCTTTGCTAATAAACAGAGCGGACTGACAAATCTGTGAGTCCTGTCTGACTTTGACAGCTATGCAGCCAAAAGTCTCATCCCAAAATTATGGATGATATTTTATTACATGAAGATGCCTTTAAAAGACTTGGATTCCATTGTGCTGAAGAAACAATAGTTTTTTTAGTGTTACAAATCTTGGGAGGTTGTGGTAGTTTTTTTTTTTTTTTAATTAAAGTTTACAGAACCAAGTATTTGTATACTTAGTGACACCTTCTAACCTTTTGTATACATTTGTTTGTTTCACATAAGCACCTTATTTTTGGACTAGCCTTCCTTCTTAATTTTCCCCCATAACTATGTTAAAGGCTTAGGTCAGGGGTGGGGAACTTCTTTGGGGGTCGGGGCTGCTGACCCACAATTAGTCGGGGACCACACAAGTGAGAAGTTAAAAAACCCTGAAATGGTCCCCGACTGAGAAGCAGAAAGACACTCCCCACATTTCCCTCACACACCAGAGCCTAGGGGGCCCAGGCTAAATGTTGTGTGCTCGAGCCCTGCGGTGAGGGGCTGGAGCACCAATGCAAGCTCCCCAATGCCGGGGAAGGGGAGCCCTGAGCCTCAGGGACTGGATCCAGGCAAGCTAGGGACTGTCTCTGACCCCTGAGCCTCAGGTTCCCCCCCTTTGGCGTAGGTGGTGTCTGCTTTTCTTTAACTGATTGTTCTGTATGACTGGCAGTTTACTCCTTGAGGGCATCCCCTAGTGCTTGTCTACATGAAGTTGAACTGGTTTAACTTTTTTAAAATCAATTTAAAATGCAATACTCTTCAGACACTCTTATTTCTACTTACGGATGACACTGTGATTTAATGGCCATTTAAACCAAAGTAAGTCTCTACGCAGGGCACTACATCAGTTTAAAATAGGTTTAAATTCACATCTTAGGTTAAACTGATGTAGCTTTATCATCTAGACATGTCCTTCCAGCCTTCTAAGTTTGATTCTTTATGGTGCTTATGACTCTCCAAGTCTGAGATTTTCTTTCCTAACTCACAACCATGTCCAAAAATGTAACTATCAATGGTTATGAGCAGTATTTTAAAACATGAAATTTGTGATCCATCACATGATAGGCATTTTGCCTTTTCCCCAATTTTTAAAATATTAAAATTAAAACTTGATGTTATCAAAAGTTCTTATTTTTGTGTGCAAAAAGTTACATTATTGAAAAAAGCATTTTGTAAGGAGGGAAAATAAATGTCACAAAAGAAAATCAAACAAATAATTTTGTGAAGAGTAGTATTATAATATTGGCATAAACAGGGTCATTTTCTAAATCCAATGTCAATACTGAACACACAGATGTTTATCCAGTATTACATTCTATACCTGAATTCAAGTTGTTTGAAAAGTCATGTAAAACACTTTAACAGTTTACAATTTTTCCAAGTAAGTACAGATGAAATACATGTAGAAGCTAGAATTTGGAACGGTCCTACAGCAACAATTAGTAGACAAAAAGGCTCCAATCTTTTACTGGCTCCAAATGGATAAACCATTGCAACGTTCCTGAGCCAAATGCAAGACCAAAGTTTACAAAATGTTTGATCAAAATTCACTAACGCAATTGTTCTTTGGTTTTAAGAATATTAGACAAAACTGAGTGAAGACCATTGCAAATGTCTAATAAACTCACATTATAGTGCAGAAAATCACAATCTGCATTAAAAATACTATTTTAGTGCAGATACATATGATTAAAACAAAATCCTATACATGAAGTCCCACTGATAAATGCCCCCCTGTATATATGCAAGCTTTCAGGTGCACATACATTTATTTTTCTGACAGGGATTTGGGTCTTATTAAATAAGTCACTGCAAAATTTGGGAAGATAATCACTAGCTTCCAAACTTACAATATCAATGTTTACCCAAAAAATTTAGAGTGGGCTACTTTATGTACTAGAGATCAAATCACTTTTTAAAATGGGGAAATTCACTTCAATTGGTATTAGGAAATCTACAGATTAGATTGTAAAGAACCTAAGGCTATGTCTACACTGCAGGCTTGTTGTGCAAAAACAGCCGTTCTTGCACAAAAACTTGCAGAGCATCCACACAACAAGCCCATTCTTGCACAAGAAAATGTACAGTAGATTGTCAGAAAAGAGGGCTTTTTGTGCAAGAGTTATTCCTCTCCCTTCGAGAAATAAGTCTTTTTGCGCAAGACCTCTTGCGCAAAAAGGCTAGTATGGACGGCAACAGGGGTTTCTTGCGCAAGAAACCCCTATGGCTAAAATGGCCATCAGAGCTTTCTTGCACAAGAAAGTGTCCACGCTGCCATGGATGCTCTTGCGCAAAAGCACATGGCTGTGTGGATGTGCTCTTGTGCAAGAACTCTTGTGCAAAAAGTTCTTGCGCAAGAAATCTGCAGTGTAGACATAGCCTAGAGTTCTACCACGTTCTCTCTTCTACCTTCTACATACTGCAAACAATCTTTTTAGCAGGAATTTCAATCATAACTTACAAGTCAGCAAACCAAAATGAAAATCTTAACACTATTTTTCCTTTTTCTTTGTTAGAGCAAAAGGCTGATAAGCATGGTTGTCTGACCAATGCTAAAAAAGTCTATCATAGTTATTTCCAGATGCAGAGCATAAATAGAAGATAACTTATGCATAATTTATTTTCAAAAAATGTCAATAACAAGATTCAATACTTTTCTATTCAACTGCACTCATAAATATACTCTTACTCCCACATCCACCATTTGAGTAAATATATTCACGTGTAAGATTTTAGTTCCAAACCTTCAACAAAAGCATTAGCAGGCTACAGACTTAGCATTTCTTGGATTCTATACTGGCACTATGGTGTCCATCATTAAAACGAATCATCTTGTCAGTTTCTAAGTTAGCATTCGTTTTGTGGTCCATATTCTGTAAGAGTGCTGGAAGATCAAGAACAGAAGAAATTATATAATCAGGTGTTGGGGAAGTGTTTATTGGCATTGTCATTGTTTTATTTATCCAGACAGTTGCTTTCAAACCAGCATTCAGGCCTCCTTGAATATCTGTGTCTAGTGAGTCACCAACCATCACACAGTCCCAAGGCTGTACCTCTAGTAGCTTACAACAATGATGAAATATAGATGGTGCTGGTTTTTCTTCTTTCTGTTCTCCTCCCACAACAATAGCATCAAAGTATGGTTGACAGCCACATGCTTCAATCTTCTCCCTCTGAGTTTGTCTGTCTCCATTAGTTAATAAAAGCAAGCGGACCATTTTTCGAAGTTCAGTAAGCATCTTTCTTATATCCTCTGTCAGGGTTAGATGCTTTAAGCGTGTAGTTTTCCACAGGAAATAACATTCTGCAGCCAGATTTCGATTAGCCTCGCCACCCTTTGTTTCTTGTATTGCTTCTTCCCAATGTGAGATCCTTAAATCAGTAATGCACACCTTAGCTGGATCATGACATTCTTTGAGGAGTTTTTCTTTGACCTTATTACAAATCATGTGAGCTTCTCCTTCATCACACTGATGTTTTGATTGCAAGGCATTTATTACCTTTAACAAAGGGAAAGGAAGGTTACAATCCAGCATTACACACTAAGGGCCAGAATATGCCACCTCGCCTTACATGGAATAGTACTTTCTTACACTAGGAATGTAAAAGTTCAATTAACCAGCTAATCGAATAGTCAGTGCAATTTGCATCGACCATTCAATTAGTTGATAAGGGCATCTCTTGTCTTTGAAAAGTAGCAACAGCCAGGGATGTTACTACACTTCAAAGGCAAAAGCGCTGTGGGGAACATGGAAGCTAGCTGGGGACTCAAGCAGTCCCCTGCCGGTCTCATGCTCCTTGCATTTTAAAGGGGCAGTGTTGCGTGGAGCCCGGGGTCAGCGAGGAGTCCCCAGCTGGCCCCAGGTTCCATGTGGAGCTGCCACTTTGAAGTACCTCCTCCTTAACTCCCCTCCTCCGCTGCCTCTTTCTGGTAGAGGCAGCAAGGGGGGGAGCAACTAGTCCACTAGCGTGTCGACTATCAGATAAGCATTTGCTTGTTGACTAGTCTTTCCTTATCTTCTGCCAAGAGTCCCACTGAAATACAATGGGATACTCCTTGAGTAATGTATCATTCAATGTTAGTAAGGATAACAAAATCTGGCCCGTAGTTTCAAGTGGCACTTAACACAGAATTCTTTTGAAAAATAACCCATTATCATAGCTACGCTGCATCACAAAGAGCCTACAGAACGCACTGTGCTTTGGCTTCCCTCCAACACCAAAGGATAGTTGAGAGGGAGCAAAATAGAGTGAATTATTTCACCCTTTTTAAAAGTGAAGCATGCACACGAAGTGACCACATAAAGGAAACTTTGGTGGGATGTTAATCCTCCATGCTCCTAGTGGAGCTAGCGTATTCTGGGCTGAATTTATGAGGATGTGACTTGCAGACCCACAATCTAAGTTGTTACATATCTTGGGAGAAACCAGTTAATATTTCTATCAATAAGTGATAAGTGTAATTTCTGCTACAAAAAAAAAATCACATATTAACACCCAGCCTGATTATGCAGCCTTTATTTACAATGACTTAAGCACGACAGCAGCTATTTTAGCCATGAGCACTACTGGAAACCCTAAGCAATGAACAGTGTATAAACTGCTCCTCGCCAGAAGTAACCCTGAGCAGCACAATGCTGAATACCCGCACCAACCTCTTCCCCCTTGCTTGAGCGTACCCACAGCTCCAGACACTGACCCTCCCGCGCCAGCTCGCCAGCTCAGCAGCACGGGGCCACCCCCCGGCCTGCTCCCTCCAGCTGTGCCACTGAGCCACGTCGCTGGGACCCAGGCCAGGCAGCCCACTCGGGTTGTGCACAGACCCATCCCCCCGTAACCCCTGCGCAGCCGGGACGGCGCCCACGGCAGGGGAATCAGGCGGCACGAGCGGGCTCCCTGGGCGGGGCACACGCCAGTGCCCCACAGCGGCCCCAGGGCGGAGGGACCAATGGCAGGGGGCGGGGCGCTAGGAAGGGCAGGACGCGGCTCCAGGGTAGCATCC